GATTCTGAAAGATATTGGCCTGTTCTCTCCGCTCATAAGGCTTTTGTGTGGGTTTGGGAGGAGGAGAATGTTGGCCTCATGGGAGGAGTTGCAAGATGTCCCTTAAGCTGCTTCTGACTTCTGAACTGTATCAGAGAAATTATGTGATTTCCTCCTGAACTGCTGGCAGAACTCACCAGGCAGCCATCTGACCAGGTGATTCCTATTTTGAAGGTGAATGATCATTGACCTAATTTCTTTGATAGGAGCCAATTCAGATGCTTCTTGTATAAGTTTTGGCAGACAGCATCTTTCTAGTTGATCCATCCCATCTAAGTTACCCCATGTGTGTTCCAAGGTCATTCACAGAGCTTCCTCATGGTCCTTTCACTGTCTGTGGGGTCCCTGTGATGGCCTCTTTTTCTGATCTACCAGCTTGAGTATTCTCATTCTTAGTTGGCCTGGCCAGAAGTTTATCAATTTTATTGAACTTCCCAAAGAAATTTTTCTGTTTCATTGATTTATCTTCCAGTCTTTAACATTTTTTTTTTCTATTCTCCACAGGCCTGATATCTGTAGAGTCCTAAGGTGAACTTAATGATTTTAGAACTTTCTTCATTTCTGATACATGCACCGAGTTCTATGAATTTCTCTAAGTATTTCTTTTATACAACCAGCCAGTTTTAGATACACTGCACCTTTCTGTTCCTGTAGCTCAAAATATTTTAAAATTTCTCATAAGGGTCCTTTTGATCTGCCTATTATTTATTCTCCAACTATTTGGGGATTGTCCAGCCCAACCTCAGTGCTGTCTGGAAACACATGCATGTGACCTCCAGTCCTTCAAGTGTGTAAGGCATGTTCTCTGGCCGAGTACACTGGGTCCTGGCAAATGTCCGTGTGCACTTGGGCAGAATGTGTATTCCACTGCCGCTGCACGAAGCCATCCATAACGTCCATTAGACGCAGCTGACTGATGGTGCTGCTCGGTTCAGCTGAGCTGTTGCAATTTGCTGCTTGCTGGATCCATCAATTAGTGACAGAGCAGTGCTGAAGTCTCTGGCTGTAATGGCGGATTTGCCCGTTTCTCCTTGACGTTTTCTGATGCCCTGTTTCTAGGTGCACATGCGTGTGCACTTGCCAGAAGGAAAGGTTGGCGAGGACAGGAGAGGGCATCCCTGAGTTGGGGGACGTCGGTCCTTCCCACCCCACGATGGACAAGCTGGCTCAGGCTGCAGATCCGTGGCGTGCACGACGGCAACCCCACCACTGGTGTGTGTGCCCAGCAAAGTCCCTACCTGGGCGTGGACAGGTCCTGCCACTTGCCTGCCACCAACGGGACCTGACAGAGATGACATGGTGGGCATGATTATGTGTGTGAAGACAAGACGGTAACTCCATCTGGTTGGGGTCTCTCTTTCCTGTGCTGAGAACAAAGCAGCCATGTGGGGACACGCCTGGGATCTGCAGGCGGCCAAGGGCAGCTCCGCAAGCAGCCAAGAAAGGAAGTCTCCCTCCCAAAGCCCAAGGGAGCAGCAGAGCTGAGCTGCTGGGTGAGCTGGGACATAGGTTCTCCCAGGCTAAGCCCAAGGGGCTCAGATGCCACCTGATGGGCAGCAGTCCCAGGCTCCAGACACCCTGCAAAGACAAGTGCTCTTAGTGGCAACATGCACGGTAATTTGTGTGCCAACAGTCTCTAACACAATAAGTTCCATAGCAGGACCTAGGGCCCACAGACAGTGCACCCTGAGATCTCGGGGGCCTCCCAGCTGAACCCAAGTTCGTAGGGCAAAAGTTACAAGGGAGGAGCAATAGCCACCCGACACCCACAGCACCAAGACCACTGCCGCCCTAGGGCCACACTCATTCCTGAGACCCTCTCTGGAAGGTGGGACAAGAAAGGACGGCCTCCCCTGAGCTGTGGACTGGGCTCCCGGCCCACTGCCACCCACAGCAGCTGGCCAGGGACGCTCAGTGTGGAGGTGGCAGCCAGCACCACTGACAGTACGATTTAATTAGCGATAATGACAGCAAAGCCAAGAGTTGCTGTTCAGGGCCTGTGACTGCGCTGAGCTCCGTGCTGCAGGAACCAATGCATTAGAACAGGCACCATTTGGGAGAATTGCCGTATTTTTCAGTGGCTTCAGATTTTTATTTTCCTTCCACAGTCCAAGTTTTTTCTGGCCCTATCACTGATTAGTTCCAGCTAAATCTGTCTTTTCTCATCAAAAGAAAATATCATGCATTTTACTTTCCATGAACTTGCAGGAATCTATCAGAACGGTTCAAGTGCACCTCATCATGCACAATCCGGTTTTTCTCTTCCTTTTTTGTCCCGTGCTGGGGACTGAACCCAGGACCGGGTGCATGTTGGACATGTGCCCCTCTCTAAGCTACGCCCAAGCCAGGAGCAGGAGGAAGTCCAGGCGCTGGAGGCTCTGTCCTGCTCGGGCTCAGTGTCACCCGGGGCCCTCCACATTCCGCCCAGAGGCCCGGCAGCTCCCTAGGCACAGTCCAGCCTGCCCGCACCCTCTGGCCTGGCCCGCAAGCACTGGTGCCCTGCTCCCCAGGGCCCTGACGGGTGTGTAGACTCTGCGCAACTTTCCTTGGGAGAACAGTGGCTTCTCCTCAGCCCCCAGGCCATCTTGAACCCAGGCACCTGTGCGTTTCTCCAGGTGGCTGAGCCCCCAGCCCCAGCCAGCTGACCCCACACCACCAGGGAACAGTGCTGCCCACAGGGTCCCACAGAGGCCTGGCTGCAAGAGAGTCTGAGCCCCACTATCCACAGGGCAGACAGAGGGCACCCTGAACTCACCGTACCCTCAGCTGCACCCTCACCACAAACACAGATGCTCCACCTCCTCCGCAGGCAAGAGACTGAGGCAGGAGCCATGAAACCAGAGGCCAGAAATCCACTCCAGGTTGACACAAAGCCCAAGGCCACGTGAGCCTGGGGCACTGTGGGGTTCAAGGTAGACTCACAGAATGAAAGGACACCCTCCAGCTGGTGCCACCTCCCGGCCACAACCCAAGCCCTGAGCCCACACCCTCAGCTTCCTGCAGCGGCTGAAGGGCCCAGAGTCCCACTGTAGCTGCAAATTCCACTCCTGCTCTCACGCAAGCACCCTGGGGCCCTTGGGCAGGTGGAGGCAGCTCCTCCAGCCTCCTCCACTCCGGGGCCTCTCTCTGGGGGCCAAGGTGCAGTGAGGTGGCCTTTGGTCACAGTGACGAGCTGGGGCCAGCAGTAGTGCCGGGATGGACAGAGCCCAGGGGAGCAGTGGGGTGGATGATAGACACAGCAGCAGGACAGAGGGGACTCAACTGTCCCAGACCCTGCTCAGCGCCGGCCCCCAGGCCTCACCCTCCTCACCCTGTTCTGCTGCCTTCAGGGCTCTGGATGAGGGGCTGGGAGGGAGCCCACACACATACCCGCAGACTGCACCAGCCCTCAGAAACTCAGCCATTGATGAACAGGGGGCCCTCAGTCCCAGAGGGGCTGGGATTTTAACCCGCCCTCTTGTCCTGGGAACCCTCTAAAACTTCCCTCTGTCCCCACAGTCTCTGCGCACACCCATCACTTCCTTTAGCTCTCCTTAGCTGCAGCCTATGCAGACCCAGCACCCCAAGCGTTGACTGCCCCATCTCCAAGGCACTTGCCGCCGACTGCCAGACAGCCCCTGCACCACCTTCAGATGCTCCCAGCCTGGCCAGTCACCATGACTCCCTCGGCCAGCTGCCCAGCTGTGCCTTGGGGACACACAGAAGTGCTGCCCAGGTGCAGAGCCTTCTGCGTGACCTCAGGCGTGGCCGATCCTTTGCAGTCTCAGCTTCTCCTGGTACTTGAGACGGGCAGTGACCCCACAGCCCTGTCCAGCTAGGACAGGAGCAGGGTGCTGGCCCACCAGGGCCCAGGTTGCCCACCAGGTCTGAAGCTCTCCCTAACCCTGAGCTCTGAGCACTGTGGTCCCATGACTGCATCCTCTTCAAACCCAGAAGGGATGGGCAGGAAGGAGACAGGCCAGAGGCCAGCACCCCCGGGAGGTGACAACCGGGCCCTCCTCTGACGGCCTCTCCAAGAGGCCCTACAACACAGGTCAACCCACTCTGGATACCCAGACCACACTGAATGGGCCACACTCTCTGGGCCCCAGGATGGGCAACCTGCCCTGCAAGACACCTGGCTCACCCAGAGTGGGTGCTCTGGAGCTCAGCCCCAGGATAAGGGTGCCGCCTACCACATCCAACTGCAGCTCTGACACAGGGTCCTGGGCACCTGGGGACGTGGGGACAACAGCATGGCAGGTGCAGGGGACAGGGCAGCGAGGCACCGGGGGGGGGCCGGGGGGGGGGGGGGGGGTCTGTGGCCGAGCTGTGTGGAGCCAGCAGCCGCTGCCAGGACAGAGGCTCTGACCCAAGCCAGCTGCCCAAGTGACCATCCCACTCCCTGCAGCCTGGGCCCCCCACCCCGCACCAGGAAAGAACACTACAGCTCCACCAGAAGCAGAAGCTGAGGGCCCAGTGTCCTGCTCTGCAGACAGTGCCTCCTTGTGACACCACACTTGGTCTAGCGGGAGGAAAGCCCGCTGTGAGCAGGGTCACAACTTCCCCACAAGGGCACAGCGGCTCTCGAGGTCCACCTCCTACTCCGACCGCGACACAACTCTCAGGCCAACAGCCTCTGGAGGGGTCCAGGTAACAACCATCCTGGCCGCCACACACTTGCCCACGGACCACAGGCGGGGCGGCCCATAGCAGAGAGGCCTGCCAAGCACGCACAGAGTAACTACCAAAGGAGGAGTTTATTTCCAAGATACTACAACGCAGACTTGAAAGAACATTTTTAATAGTGTTGAAATAGAACTATGAGTAGGCACAGTAACAAATAACCCTACCCCAGGTCAGGTTTCAGGATCAAAGCACCCATCCGCCTCGTGCACCCTACGGCCTCCTGTACCCGTCGCTGCCCCAGGCCTCTTGCTCACCCAGCCTCCTGGTGATGTAGGAAGGAAAGGGCAACAACGTCCAAATATTGACTTTATTTTTAATATAAAAAATGCAAATTTGGAAACCCACCCTACTTTCACCCCCTAACATAATGCTTTACCTCTTAAAAATAAAAATAAAGTACTAATTCTATATACATCACATGTACCATACAAAAATGTATCCAAAGTTCTATTGCTACCAAAGTTCTAAATTAAAACAAGTTACAGAAAGCCCCGCATTGTAAACAAAAGATTACAAGTTACAAAATCAAAGTACACACAGGCCAGGGTCATTTACGGAACCACACCACACATTCTGCTCCCAAACCAAGTCGAGTTGTTATGTGCCCGTATAAAAATGCATATCAATATACTTTTGCAAATTTACTCTTCTTTATAAAGCAAATGAATACACTTTCTACAATAAATACCCGCTGGAGGCACGTCCGTGAGTCACCGGCGGAGTGTTTTGGTGGTCTGCGAGTGGTGCACACAGCATAAAGGGATTCTCCTCCTCTGCACAAAGTACCATTCAAAATAATGTCTCGTTTTCTCTCTTAAAATACACATTTGTCACTGTAAATTTACATCCCGTCTTATTAAATAAGTGGTACTCTGTGTAAAGAGTATGATTTACAAAATTATTAAACATTCAAAAGTCTTTTTAAAAAAAAGCTACAGGTAAAGAAGGGGAGGCGTGTGGCAGCAGGGGCAGCCCCCGCCGCAGGCCCGACGCACACCCACCCGAAGCGCCAAGGCCAGGTGGCTTCGTAGAAAACTCGGAAACAAAACCTCCCCCCTCCCTGGGGAAAAAAGAATTCAAGAACTACAACTATAAATCAGAATAAGTTAAGTTTTGAACAATATACAAACATGTACAGCGTATCAACACTATGGACAAGTCCCTCCCACCGGAGCCGCCTCAGTCTATGTCACTGAGGTCACTGGCTGGCTCCCCGTGCACGCGGCTCAGATGGTTCATGGCTCGGTCGAAAGCGATGCGCACGGCCTTGCGGATGCTGGAGTTCCGCCCCTCCATCATCTTCAGCTTGTCTATGGTCTCATCGATGCCCAGGGGAGCCATCTTGGATTTAGGGAGCCACTGCCTTTTGAGAGAAGGGGGCGGTGAGCACAGCTGCACAGCAGCCCTCACCTGCACTCGGCATCCTCCCTCCCTCCCTGGAGCCCACATGAGGCGCGAGAGCAGAGTCTCCATGCCTCCCCTCAACCGCCCCAAGGGGCCATGCAGGACAAGCAGAGCACACAAATGTGTGCAAAATACGCATAACACAGGAAATACGTGCAGTGCACACCTAACACAGGCCAGTGCGCCCAAAGCAGAGCACCGGGCGGGAAGGGTGCAGCCTGAGGAGCTGAGTGTACAGCCCGACCAGGGCCAACACACCACGCCCGCCCACAGGGAGCACGGGCTGAGCACGTGTGGAGCACAAGGTGCCGGAGAGAGGAACAGGCAGAGCACAGGGTCGGCCCGGCCGGGTGTGGGAGCGGCACTGCCACGGCCTCGAGGGGCAGAGCTGGTGCAGCGGGGACCTAGCCTCCGAGAGGAAGACAAGGCCGACCAGAGCTCCACACATGTCCCTGTGGTCCCCAGGGGCTCAACATGCAGCACTCTTCTTGGCCCCATTTGGACATCAGCCATGTGAGGACCAGTGCTCACACAACCCCGCCAAGCCGCTGCACCCCAGTAACCGAGATGGGGTGCACACCCCTAGCTGCACTCACCAGCTCCTCTTATTGTCGAAGAACAGTACAAGAAAGAGCTTCTCCTCAGACTTGGTCTGCATGTGCTCGCCCACCTTCAGCACGTCCAGAGGCGGTGCCGGGATGGTGACACCGTTGTGGTGGCCGGGCACTCGTGGCATCTTGGGGTCGATGATCTGAGGAGAGCACACCCCACTCACTCTGAGCACTTGTGCCTGAGGCCGCCCGCCCGCTCGCTTGCCCGCACCACAGCAACCGCGCTCTTCCCTCAGCTCAGCCCAGGGCCCTCGCCTGAAGGGTAGGCCCACAGTGGCACGTGACTCACCAGTGCGGGGTAGGAGGGGTAGCCACTGCACTTGGCCCACACCACCTTCAGGGGCTCGAGCACTGAGGCGGCGGCATCCGTGGAGATCCACATGCTGCTCTGCCCCACCTCTGGGAAGGAAGGAGCCCTGGTGGTGAGCACTGCCCCACACCCAGGGCCCCCTCGTCTCCTACCAACCTGGACAACCACCTGCCCTCCCCAGTGCCAAGCCTGGGACACCAGGTGCCCAACCTCTTGCCACCCCACCCCCTCCAAGGACGGGCTCTCAGCCTGTAACGGTGCACTGTGTGCGGGTGAGGCCTCCAATTCAAGGCTGAAGTCCTGGCTGATCCAAAGAACAGCCCCAGCTCAGCCCAGCAGAGGGCACTTGTCTCCAGAACCACCAGCTCCAAGTCCAGACCACTGCTGGAGAGGAGAGGGGCCACAGCCCCCATCCAGCCCGTCTGCGCCCAGCCAAGCCTCCCCCACAGGGCCACCTCTGGGAGCCCTGTGCCTGCTGCAGTTCAGGCCCAAGGCGGCAAGGGCACTGTCCCCAGGACTGAGCAGCCCTGAAGGAGGGTCCTGGCTGCTGGCCAGCCTCAGCTGCAGACGGGCCCCAAGGGTCAGGCGCCACCTGAACCTGGACTATCCCGGAGCAGGGCCAAGTCACCCTGACCCCAGCCTCTGCTTGTGGACATCACCAGGGCCACAGATTCCCCTACTGGGGAGGGAGCCCCTTCAGACACCACAGGCTCTGTGCAGTAACACCGTGCCTGGACCACCGCCACACGTGGCATCCTACCCACATCCCAGGCTACCCAGGGCTCACCGGCTGCAATCCGGGCTGCCTTGGCATAGTTGCCATTCTCAATGCAGGATATCAGCTCACTGCGGTCCTCCAGTGTGTGCCTCCGCACAAGGGCAGGCTTGCCGCGCCCACACTTGGGGGTGCTGAAGCTGTGGGGAAAGCGGGGTCCAGTCAGGGGCAGGCGGCCAGCCTTGCTTCTCCCTGACCCAGGCTATGTTGCGCAGCTGCCCATCAGGACCACAGGCTGGGCTGCGGACCGGGCCTCCCATCCAGGGACCGGCCTGCAGTGACCAGGGTGGTTACGGCCACCCTGTCTGGCCACCAAAGGGGGCCCCCACTGGGCAGCCAGGCAGGTCCGTGCTGACCACTGTCTTGGCAAAGGCAAGACTCTGGGAGGGATGGTTAAGTGTGAATCTCTGTTGATTCCACAACCACGCTAAGCTTTGCACAGTTTCATTCCTATTAACAGTTAAATGCTACGAAGCAGACGAAGACATCATATGGGAAACTGTCCTACCAGGCAGAGTGGACACACGAATCGGATCCCAGGCCAGGCTCTCTCAGGGCCCTTAGGTCAGGAGCCGGGGCCCCTGGGTCCAGAGCAGCCAGGCGGGTGCTGAGCGCAGGGGGCACTCGGAGGCTGCGCAGGCGGAGACGAGGCGGTGCCCACCTTGAGTCACACAGCGGGCTGCTGCTGGAAGAGATGCTGGACTCGGACGCACAGCGACGCCGGGGGGCAGCTTTCCTCCCCGGGCCACTGCCCGGCTCCTGCTCACTCCTTGAGCTCCCAAAGCCATTGGTGAGACCTGAAACACAACAGGCAGGTGCCGGTCAGCCTGGGCAGAACAGCTGCGCCTCCCGGCCCTTCCCTGTGCCCTGTCCTGACTTCCGTTGGATGTGGGGTACACGTTCCCAACAGCATTTCACACTAGACACTGTCTTATCTTTAGCCACTGGGGTCCCCAGCAGTGAGCTGCAGGTGCCAGCACTGAGCTCCACACACACAGCAATGGCTGCTGAGCGAAGTCGGCACAACTGAGGTCAATGTGAGTGGGGGCCGCGCTGTGAGCACAGAGGAAAACGAAGGCGGTGCCCGCGCAGCTTTCTCTAAAGGCCCCCAAGCCAAGGCATCTGGGCTCCCCTGCCCAGCTAACATGCCCTGGGGGCTGCGGCAAAGGCTGCCTGTCCACACCAGGGGCACAAGCCCACGGGCACAGGGCACCATCACCAACAAAAACACACTCATGTTGTGGGGCTCCAGGGAGAATAAATTAGGGTTTTTCATTGTTGTTTTTGTTTTGTCTTTCTGACAAAGGGTCTCACTATGTAGTTCAGGCTGGCCTTGAGCTCACTTTGTAACCCAGGCTGGTCTCAAACTCTCAACAATCCTCCTGCCTCAGCCTCCCGAGTGCTGGGATTACAGGCGTGCGCCACCATGCCTGGCTTGCATAAGAGTTTTAAAAAAGCTTGCTCCAAAACACACAAATTAGTGTGAACCTGAAAAATGCTGACAATACACTTGAAAAATAGAAAACGAGGGCCCCGTTAATGCAGGCCCCCCAAAATCCACAGCATAAAGGCACCCGGGCCTAGTATCCTCCCAACACAGGACGTGGCTCTGTAGCACTTGCCACATGTCCAGGGCAGCTGAACAGACAGCCGCATCACCTCAGCTTGGGAAGAGCACTTAAGCAGGGCAACCTCGGAGCCTACTGCACCAAGCGGCGCTTCCCTGCTGTACGTGAGCAGCGGGAACAGGGTGAGACCAACCAGCTGTGTCTGGCCTGGCGCCCTCAGGTACGACAGCTGGGCGAGGGGGCCGCAAAAAGGAGCCCCATCCCTCCACTTCTGTCACCCTTAAAAGATTAATTAAAATACTATGCCCAAAGTGAAATGTGTAAACAGGAATAAAACTTCTCAGAAAGCTTTTGGCTCGGGTGGCCAGATCATGGCGCTTCTGGCTGCTGGGACACTTCCACCTTCCCTCCAGAAATGCTCCCACCCCTGCTGACAGGGTCCTCGCACCCTCCAACAATCATGCGCTGACAAAGCGGGCAACACGGACAGAGAAGGAGCCGGACCACAGTGAGCCCGAGGCTCTCGTGGTGGGCAGATGGCGCCATCCTAGGGGCAGAGGCCACACCCCACTCTGAGCTGTACCATCAAGACGCCCACCCAGCACTGATGGACAGACAAGACAGAGCCGATGCCCCAGGACACACAATCTGAGAAAGGACCACAAGACCAGTGCCATCTGCACACACAGCTCTGTGGATGAGTCTTTAGGTCTCAGACAAGGAGGCCACACCACAGGCACCTCCACTGCTCCAAGCCCAAGCACACACCCAGGGCAGGGGGTCACGCGCCTCTGAGGTACTGCCCACCCCAAGACTCCAGTGCCAAGTAAGCCCTTTGCAGGCTGAGCAGACGGGGCCAGAAAAGAACAGAAACGTGACCGGTCAGGGCTGGATGCCGTCTCCCACCAGGTCTGGGCCATCAGGGTCAGCTGGGGAAGACGAGGGCTGATCTGTGGCCAGCCTGACCCACGCTTCGGGCTGTAGAAGTGAAGGCCAAGACAGCCTGCCTTGAACCAGCCTGCAGATGGTGCATGCTTCCTGCCTTCACCGCCCAGGACACACACACACCGTCCCCCACAAGAGTAGCAGCTGCTCCACCCCAAGGTCAGGGCCCATGGTAACAGAGGGAACAGAGGTGGACGCGAAGGTCAGTGATTGAGGAGGAAGAGAATGGTCTGTATCTTCTCTGTTTTCTGAGCATTTAATGACTGGGCTCACGGATCTGGGCCACAAGTAGTTTACACATAAAGTTTTCACACCGCATGTGGACACGCACTGAGCACGCGGCAGCCCCCGAGGGAACAGTCCATAAAGACCAGGCTGGCTGCAGAACAGGCTGGGCACCAGGCCAGTTTTTGAAGGACACAGCAGCTGAGGCAGGGCAGGCGCCCGGGCGGCCAGGAAGGCTGCCAGCCCCAGATGAATCCCAAGAGGTGACAGGTGAGGATCCGGGCCAGTGCGGGGCAGCTGTGCAGTGCTGTCTGGAGCCCACAGAGCTGCAGCACAGCAGCAGCCCCTGCAGCCTGCGGAACGGTTGGTGTGCGCTTTGCGCAAGTCCCACCAGGGGAGGTAGCCTCAGAGTAGAGGCCACGGGGCTCACTACACCCCAGCAACCCTGTGGGGCCAGAAGACGTTCGTTCAGTCCAGAGTCTGGAATCCTGGGCCCTGCGGGGTGTGGAGGTCCAGAGGTGGGCTCAGGACACCTGAAAGCAGCAGGTGCTCACTCACACTGCAGCCAGCCTGACGCTGTAGAAGAGATAGGCTGGCAGCTACTGAGAGGCCACGAGAACGTCGGAGACAGCTCTAGAAAGGGCGAGCACCCCAGCACCAAGCACTGCCAAGCCCCAGGCCCGCAAAGCCCCCAGGCCACATCCCACTCTGCCAGGGAGAACGGGATGGGTGTAGGTGGCCGGCCATCCCAAAGGCCACAGCAGCCCCAGGGGCTCCCTACTCTCTCAACACCTCACACCCATGAGCAGGACAAAGCTCCTATGTGGTCCAGCTGAGGGGGACAGTCAGCCATGGTCCTTGCTGCCCTCAGCCTCCTAAGAAACCCTGAGATGCAGCGGGTAAAGAGACCCTGGGCATGGGGAGCTGGTGGACAGAAGCTGCCCCTCCACCTTGGATCCACGGCCTCCGCAGGCACTGAGGAAAGGCCACCAGGAGAGCTTACCCCATGCCATGCAGCATGAGGCACTCACCCCCCTGCCTTGTAGCTGCCACCCTGCTCCTGCAGGAGGAAGTAAGTACGCAAGCACTAGTGGCTTGTGGCCAGCAGTGACATTCTGGGCATCAGAAATCACACACTGCTCCCAGCAGTGGGACACGAGCACCACAGGGTGTGGTGGGTGGCACCTGTCCTCTTCTGCTGGCTCGTTTCACTTTTGCAACTGCCCAGAGAATTGCACCTGTAGTGCGCTTCTCAAACTTTCAGTGAGAGCACAGCAAACATGAAGCCGCCCCCACCGCCTGCTTCCATGACAGAAGCTCCATGAAGACACAGCTGGGACGGCCAGGAAGGTGCAGCCCAAGTAGGGGGATGTCTTGGAAGGTCCCGTGGCAGGGCTCGTCAGCCAGCTTGGCTGGCGCTCAGCACAGCACCAGCAAGAGAGACGTTGGCATTGCTCCGTCATCCCAGAGGGAATAAAGGAAAGCGACTTAAGGAAGAAGGAAGCCAGGCAGAAAGAGAAATGGAGGTGCTGACGACTAAGTGATGACATCTCCAGGCAGGGCCGTGTGCTCGGTCCCTCCAGACGCCGGACTTGGTGCCCGAAGCTGAGCCCCGTCATCGCAGGCCAGTGCTGGCGCACGCAGGGCAGAGCTCAGACTGTCCTCGGCGCTGCGGTGCTGGCACACGCCAGGCTGTCCACTCGGGGAAGGCAGAGGCACTGAACCATCCCCAGCTCAAGGAGAGCACCAGTCCCCACAGGACCTGACCGGGAGCCTGCAACGTCTGCGGGAGCGGGCGTCGGTGTTCCTTAGAGGAGGCTCCAGTGTGATCAGTGAGAGCCACATGCAGGGCGAGGAGCAGCCAACACGCTGCATCCCAGAGGCTGTGAGCAGAACTCCGGTCCAAGTCGAGGGAAGAGAAAAGGACTAGGGTCCAGAGGAGGAGCTACCCAGTACACAGCAGCTAGGTGAGAACCGGGAGAACAGCAAGAAGCCACTTAGTCTGCGGAAGTGCAGGGCAAGACCAGCCTCCTGCCTGTGCAGTCTGGGGGCACAGAAGACCCAGCCCTCCGGGCCCCACCCCATGCACAGCCATCTCCACCGAGTCTCAGAGGAAGAAGTAGGCGGCACAGCCCCGCCGATCCAGTCCCTGAGGAAAGAAGCTTATAGAGCAGGCTGGCTCTATAAGCCCGGGCCCGGGGCTGTCGCATGCCTCGCCCGCTGCACCGCGGGGGTCGGCGGCCTGTGGAGGAGCAGTCAGCACGGCGCTCAATCTACCACGGGTCCTCAGCGCCCTGGAGAACCAGCCCTGTAAGTTCAGAGTGGAGGCTGCGTCTGGGGAAGCTCAGAAGGCTCCAAACACTCCACGTCCTCCGACTGCGAAGAGTGCAACTTGAGCAAGAAATCCAGGTGCGCAGAGGGCACCTGCCCTTCGGGCGAAGGCGAGGCCGGCACGATGGCAGGACTGGCCCCTCCAGCCCACGCCTGGCCGCCCTGGGCAGAGCAGATGCAGCAGTGGCCGCCTCGCGCTCCTGAGGGTCTGATCTTAGGGCTAAGGCTCCCAGGCTGTTCAGGGGCACGCTTAGGAATTCAACTCGCATCCACTGAACTCTACTGCCATTCTGGAATAAGAAAGCAAAAATCTCCATTTCAGTCAGGATCAAAGGCACACTGCGGTCACAAGTACTAAAGGTCTGCGGCGCACGACAACTCACCACCTAACCCTGGAACACACTCCACGAAACGGGGGACGGAGAACAGGGCGAGCACCTGATTCCTCCAAAGAACACCTGGTGTACTAGGCGTGGTGGCACACACCCCTAACCCCAGCACTTGGGAGACTGAGGCAGGAGGATCACCATGAGCTCCAGGCCAGCCTGGGCTACACAGTGAGTTCAAGGTGGCCTGAATTACAGAACAAAACACTGACTTGAAAACAAAAAAGAACATCCGGTGAACAATCTGAGGTGCTCCTAAATCTATGTCCAAAGCTGAGCCCAAACAGGAAGGTCACCCAGGGAAGCTACCCATGTACTGAGACACCCGGGCCCGGGGGAAGCACAGCAGCCCATAGCACGGTCCTTCGGTGCACAGCATCCTGGGCCCTACACTGCCCCACGGCCACAAAGCTCAAAGCCCCAGGGGGCAACATCAGCCCTCGCCCTCGCGAGCAGGAAGGCCTGATGCGCTAATGTATCATGGGGATCCAGGGAGCGCCACGCAAGGCAGTCTGCCCCTCACAGTGGCCAAGAAAGGCGGAAGCGCAGTTAAGAGGACTGAAAATGTCTGGTCTCTCGCTTCATCTACATCCTCTGAAACATTTAAATTGCTTTGTATTTCTCAGAAATAAAAAAGGTTTTATGAGATTTTAAAATGCGAATTTCATATCAAGCCATCAAAATATGAGGACTCGGATAGAAAGTTTCTACAAAAGTAATTACATGTGCGAAGTCAAAATGAAACTTAACATGAGGCCCTGGTTGAAAGGGGTGGGGGCACAGAGCCGGGGAGTGAGGCACAGAGAGAGTGAGAAGGAAAGTGGAAGGAAGGAAAGGGGAGGGAAGGAGGAATTACCTTAGACACAAGAAGCATGACTGGCCCCCCAGGCCACACACTCAACATGAAGACCTCTGAGGGATGCTTAATGCCGGGCAAGAAAGGAGGGAGGTCACCGGCAGACGTTGCCGCCTGACTGGCCGGGCAAATCTCTTGGACATGGGATTCACTTGCTGCCACTCCAGCAAATGAAATGACAATGCACTGGCCCATGTCCTCACCTCTGAAATGCATAGGAAGCCAGCATACCAGCTGAAGGCAGCTGAGGGTGGCACCTCCTCCTCAACTAGTTGTGGCAGTAGACAGAGAACACACAGGACCCAGCTTGGTCCAGCACTGAAAGGGGCACACGTCCAGAACAGGGAGGCTTGGGACCTGACCCTGGCACCTTTCCAAAGCACAGCCACCCCAGAGTGAGTGGACGGACGGCAGCCACTCCTCAGAGAACACAGACACACACAGCTTTCATCAGAGAGGGTGGGAGCAGAGGCACGAAGAGCCAGGTAGCTTCCTCCAATCCTGCATGGAGCAATTCACAGAAGAGCCAGACGCAGAGCATATGAGAACACATGTGGCCCTCCCAGTACATCAGCAAAACACGTTAAAGGTACAAAACCTTAGCAGTTATGGAGAAACACCTTCAAGTGTTACCAAGTGGTGACAATAAACAGTGCAGCACCGAAGGACAGAACCCTCATGGGAGCCTACCGGTGCAGCAGCAGAGCCTCAAGCTCAGGTCCAGGTTCAGGACAGGAGCTCCAGGAGACCCTTGAGTGAGCGCTCCCAGCCGCAGTGCACCAGACGCACAAACCCACTCATGGTGCCCAGCCGACCACAGCTAAGAGTGGTTCTTGATGCTTCAAAGGCCAGAGGGCAAGAAGCGGCCGGTGCAGAACAGGACAGGGCCACCACAGGATCAGAAGCAGCCTGGGCCACATGGCCACCTCCCCAAGGGCACCAACCCAGCCCCACAACGGCTCCAAAGACAAAAGCACGTGGCTCATCCTCTTCTCTGGAAGTTAACAGAACTCTGCAAACCAAAGCCCAGCACCACAGACAGATTCACGCTGAAGACGCCCACACGCAGGCAGCATGCACCACGCAGGCCGCCGGGCTGACATTTACCTGTGTCCAGGCGCTTTCCCGGGGACTCCTCCTCCACCTCGGAGTCTCCACATGTGCTCCGCGACCTTTTCCTTGGCTGCAGTAGAGTCTCCAACCTCGGAAGGACTACAGACAAAAAGGTTTTGGTCCCTAGCTGAAGAGAAGTTGGCTGGGTTTCAGTGTTCTTGGCAGACTTTGGGGGGCTTACACTTTTCGATTTGCAGAAGAGAACAGAAGTGCGTCTGTTTACATCGCTTGATGGCTCCGCCACCGCGGAGGCCGCCGCAGCCGCCGGCACATCGCCACTACTGGCGAGGGTGGGCTCTGGAGGGTGTCCGCTTACCAGTGCGCTCTGAGTGCATGGGCTATGTGATGCATTATCAAATGTGACTCTTTTGAATAGTTTACTCTGCTCAGGGTTGAGTTCTACTGGTTTGAGGGTTGGTGGTTCTGAATTAGTCTCCGAGTTTGAAGGAAGAGGTAATGCATCTGATGGTTCAAGTTTAGGGGGAGATTTATCTCCTGAAAAAATTATAAATAAAGTGATTTTTGAAAACTGAAGATTATAAAGTCTATTATAAAACTTACTATAAATGTGAAGTCCACCAAAATACTAATTCAATTAAGGAAACAAAGCATCACACACAACGGTCTGCTGAGCAGGGAGCAGCCTGGGGCCACTGGGTCACCCTGGGCCAAGCTGTGTGCATCTCCCTAACCAAACAAAGGCTCAGGCCTTCGGCCCTCCGCCCAGGTGCAAAGTTACTCTGGAAAAAGTGTGAGCATATATTTCACACATACCGATATTTACACATAGCATTCTGAGTTCAAGATAGTCCGCAATCTGCATTCACTTACCTTGAGGACGACACACAGTCCAGAACTAAGGGGGCCAGGCAAGCTCCCCACATGCTCTGCACTGCAGAGGTGAGCAGACCTTAGGAGACTGAGCTCACCTTGTCCTGACTGGGGCTTTCCAAGGAGCCCAAACCAGGGAGCCACAGTGGCCAGGAAGGACTCTTGAGGCTGGCCAGACACCCGTCCCCATACGGCTACATAGCTCTGGGCGGCTCTCCCAAAAGCCTTGTTTGCCTATCTGGCTTTAAAACCCAGTCTTCACAAGCAGAGTATTTTAACCTCTTAAAAAAAACCATTTAACAATTACCAACTTGCCAGGGATATAGCTCAGTGGCACAGCACCTGCCTGGCAAGCACAAGGTCCTGAGAACTCCTGGTACCCAAAAAAACAATTACCAACTTGAAATGACCCGGAGCTGGGGTGAGGGCGCAAAAGGCTTTGCACACTACAAGCCCAAGAGATAGGACAGGCGCACAGAGTAAAGTTAGGCCACAATGGGCTAGGCCACCGGGTTTCTCTCTGAGCAGGACTGATCTTGGCTACAGGAAGTATGATACAAAACGAAGCAACAACCTGAACAAGCTAAAGGAGTGTACCACATCACTAGGTATAGTTTCATTAAAGCCACAAACTTCCCACAAAACATCTAAAATACATAAGGTTAACGTTTTAAATCCGAAAACTCATTTTAAAAATAAAAAGCTTTACAAGCTTCACTGATGTCTCTGGGTGGTCTACTAACTCAGACCCAGTCTTTCAAGCGTGGTGCACGGAAAGTCCTCCGTAACTGCCCCAAAGAGGAGCACACAGGGTTGAGAGCCAGCCCCCCAGCCACTCCATCCTCCCATAGCCTGGGCAGCGGAGGAAGGGCTCGTGTTCCACACATGCTCACGGTATGGTAGGGCTCCAACACCCTGGGGATGCAGAGCCCACTGTCACAAGGCCTTGTACTCCAGACATCACAGACAGCAGGCACAAGCCTATCAGTCCGTGGGACCTGTACCAGAGTCGAACCTGGAGACCACAGCTCCCATAAAGCGGGCCTGGGATGCTCCTGGTCACTGGCATGATGGAGGCTGACGGAAGCTCCCTGCCCATTCTGCTCGACCCCACTGACGCTTGGGAAATCACACTCACGAGGCACAGCGTGGCCCTGAGCACACAGCACCGGGCACGTGCAGGGGCCCCACTCAAAGTCTTCTGCCGACTTTGCCCACAGGGGCAGTGGGCAATGGCCATGTGCACCAGGGGCTGAGCCCCTCCACAGTACCTCAGTTTGCCTCCTGCCCTCTCTCCTCCCCACCTCTCGCCCCACATCAGTGCACATCCTGCCCGTGGCGCTCGGAAAGCACTCCTGGCGAGCCAGTCGAGGCTCCCAGGAAAGCACCAGCACTCGGGCCCTTGCGCTGCTGAGAGCCCCACAGGGCAGTCTATGCGTCCTCCACCAGGCAGCAGGCAGCCGCGTGTGCCCCCAACAAGACCCTCTCCCCTGGGCCACACCTCCTGACCACGTCCCCCAACATGCAGGCCCAGTCCCTCCACACAGCCCTGCGCTCCCGCCCTGCTCTGCAGTCAGCTGCGCACGTGCACCGCGGCTTCCAGCCCCCAGCCACCACCCCGCAGCACTCCATGACGGTGCTGGAGACAGCAGGTGTAGAACATCCGCCCTGCTGGGACTCCCACAGGCCAAGAGACCCCTCTGTGCCTCAGTGGCCTCACATGTAAATGAGAAACAGCAGCACTTGTGTCCTGCTGGGCGGCCGTGAGGGGGGAATTCCCACAACTACCCTCCATGAAGTGCACCCCACCAGCAGGGGCCCATCAGGGCCCCCTGGAGAAATCTGCAACTATCAAACTTCTTTCCAAAAGCTCACTGGCTACCGCCCATTCCACATTACATTTAACTGCACGAGAGAAATGCTCTCTTACCTGCTCTAACAAGCTCCACAGGACGCCAGCACCAAGCCTTAGTCATGGACATCAAAGTCAACCCCGCAAAGCCCCTCTGGCCAGGGCTCATCCCGTCCGTGTGCATAACCACTGGCCAAGACATGTCCTCCCCACGGGATGCCACCCAGACTTGCCGGGCCACAGGGCAGAAGGTCCCAAGGTGCCTATATTGCTTCCCACCCCAGCCACTGGGCCCGCCATGCCCCTACCAAGACCACAGCAGAACCACAGAAGAGCACGTGGGGCACTCCGACTCACGCTACCAACCACACTGGCCCTGCACACCTGCTCTTGCTCCGTCCTCTGCAGCCAGGAAGGAACAGGGTTCACATACTGCATCCCACACTGAGCAGAAATGCCTAGAAACACGCCTGAGCCACATGGCATGTGTAAACTGCCACAGCACTGACAACTGTGTGCACAGTGGTGCCGCAGGTGTGCTGGGCTGATGCAGACCTTTTACTGGGTTCCTTGAGACTCCCCCAGCTCTGCCTGCCCTGCCCTGCCCTGCCCTGCCCTGCTCTGCACCCATGGCTAAACCATAGCCCCATGAGCCCAAGTCCACCCCACAGGCTTGTCACTACCTCACCACGCATGCCTCGCCCTCAGTCTATAGGCACTCAAGAACCTGACGTCAACACCAGGCGCACAGACAGCCCAGCCCTGGCTCCAGCAGACCAAGTCCTGGCCAGGCCTGGAGCCTCCTTCCCTGATGCGGGAACCTCAGGTCTCACAACTAGCAGTGGGCCTACTCACACTTCTGCAAACATAAACCACACAAAGCTCACAAAATCTCAACTACAACCCAAGACTGTCTTGCCTTTGGGTGTGACAACATTGGGATAATATTTAAGAAAAAGACAGGCCCTGGAAGAGCAGAGGAGCAGACTGAAACTCTAAGTGTCTGCTCGCCAGCCTCTGTGGACTCCCCTCTCCACAGAGGCTCAGACACACTACCCACCTGGGGCTGACTCCACCCAGGAGTTCCGTCTCTAAGGGTGACTCCACCATCTTCCTTCCCTGCTCCACCTCAGGGCAGGGGGTCAGACTGCTCCTTTCCAGCCCCTTCCCCTCAGCAATGAGGAGCCCAGGCACATTAAATACCTCAACAACCTGTGGCCACTGCAGTCACCTCTCTCAGTATCCCCACCCACTTTCGTTCATGGGGCTAGCACTACAAAGCAACAAAGCACCAGCCAGCTCCTGCTCAAGGTGGCAGGACTTGGGGAGTCATAGTGCAGCAGGCAGAAGGTCCTCTGTGTCCAGTAAGCCCAGTCTGAGTTCGGGGCCTCTGAGGAAAGGACTAGGAAGGCAAAGCCCCGTGCGGCTGGAGGCCAGCTCTGAGGATGGGGCCAAGGTCTGGCTATTCCAATTCCAATGAAGGTAACTGACCGGGGGACAAGCTTCTCGTTCTTACTCACTCTCTCCAGGGCCAAGAGTACAAAGATCAGAGAGTGAGCGGAGCTCAGATCATCCTCAGGCCCAGGAACAGTTCAGCCACCATGGAAGCCAGACGACACGACCATCTGGGACCCAGTAGGGCATAAAAAAGAGCAGCCAGGGGGCTGGGGGGCAGGTTGGGCAGAGTCCCAGGAGCAAATGCTCCTCCAAGAAACAAGCAGGTCCCTGCATAGGACAAAGGCTTCTGGAGAACAGGAAGTCTGCATGTCACATGAGGAACAAGGCTCCACTGTGCACATGGTGAGGAAGGCAAAGGAGCAACTCCCAGGCAAACACATGGAGGCAGCTCCCAGGGCAAGGAGGCCCACTGGCGCTGGCGTGCACTCCTGACACGGCCACTCAACAGAGCACGGGAACCACACTGTGGGAGCTGTAGGCCGCCAGCACCGGGTGGCCGTGACTACACGTGGCTCACACACTGCTGGCACCATGTCACTCCGTGCGGCAGGGCAGCGCCAGGCTTACTGACACTGGCGGCCAGAGATCAAATGTAATGCTGACCGATTACATCTGCCCTGCTTTAATGCTCCACTCCTTCTGGGTAAGCCAAGCCAAACTGCTAACACAGTGGCAGATGGGCCCTACTCTTCTCCCCACTCTGCAACTGAAAGCCAACTATCACCAGGAAAACAGAGGGTAAACAGCGGGGTGCTCAGGTGCCCACCTCCAGCCCACCCTCCAATGACCTAGACAAGCCCACCAGGTTCTCACCACCCAGCTGAAGCCAGCTCCACTAGTTTCCCACTGGGCAGACAGTTTTCTCGCCTGGCCCTCTACACTGTTGGGACCCATGGGCATCCACTGAGGTCACTCACAGGAAGGCCTGCCGGACTGCAAGGAGTAGCACCAGCTCTATCCGAAAGCACCACAGCTCCTTCCCACCCTCGAAACCTCAGAGCAGCAGCTCCATCCTAACAATTTAAAAAGCACCTCCAAGAGCTCTGTCTGACCGTCTAGTGCATAATTAAACAGCTCTCCCTCCAAAAAAACACGACAAAAACATTTCTTTACCTTTACTCTTCAACATAGGATAAAATTAGACCCTGAACTCTTCAAGATTTTTAGGCCTACATTAAGAAAAATAAATCACATTCTGTGCCTCAAAGTTCATGCACTATGTAAGTAAGTGCCAGCACACAGCACAGAGGGCACTGACTGCAAAGTCTTCTCTAAAGAAAACGAATCTGATGGGAAGACCCAGTGACCAGAGCTTCGGCAACTTCAGAACTTACAAATCTGCGACAAGCATGGAGCCTGCGAGGCTGAGCGAGGCAGGGGCGGAGCCCCGTGGCATGCTTACCTTCCTCACCCGCGTCCGGCCCCGGCGGGGCAGCGTCCTCCTCCGAGCCTCCCGGACTGGGCCCTGCGGCAGGGGGCTGGCTGTGCTGCTGGCTCAGCTTGTTGCGCAGGAGGGCGATCTCCTTTTTGAGCAGCTTTGCCCGCTTGCTCCGCGAGCCACTGGACTTCATGGAGCAGGTGAGGTCCAGCTTGTCCAGCAGCTCCCTCAGCTGCTCCTCCAAACCCAGGTGGGCCCTGTTGGCCGGGTCCAGCAACCTGTCCACTGGATCAGAGGACACTGCATCAGTTGTCAGCTCCTCACCCAACTGTCCTCGACACTCCTCATCCAAGGCCTGACGTGGCCACCTGAGGCCACACACAAGCCACTCGTACACTCTGAACCACAAGAATCACAGGATGCTCCTGAGGAAGAGGGCAAGGGTCAGCATGGCGCAGCAGAGACCCAGCCAGGTCTTTCTGTGCACAAGGCCCAACCAGCCCATAAGCACAAGGCGGGCCACACAGGGTCTGCCAACGACAGAAGTGAACTTGGAGTGTTGGCACATCGCAAACACCATCCTAGCCAAAGCCCACAGACCCTTCTAAATTCCTAGCATATTTACTAGGAAAGTCCCTACAATCTCCAGTCCAACAAACTTCCAAAATCTAAAGCATAAACCACTATAAACTACAAACAGATGACCAAACCAGAAACTACTCTTCTGAGCTGTCTGATGACAAAAGCAGGAGCCAGAGGAAGGGCAGGAGCAAGAGGGAGAAGACGAAACACAGCACAGGTCAGTCTAGATGCAGCAGCCCACGTCCTCCAGAAACCGAAGTCTTACTGAAGCACCTCGTCCACACAGGAAGCATCAGGAAATAAAACACATCTATAGCATAATGGCATCACTGCTGCCAACAAAACCTCACACTCCTCACTTGCAAAATGCTTATATCATCTGAAGGCCCAGGAAAACAGCCTGGCACTGCCTTCTCTTCCTACAGAAGGCCGGCAGCCCTGCACCCACCTGCACAGGCATCACAGCAGGCCCAGTGCTGACAGACAGACAGCAGGCACCCCTCAGAGCCTGGGCTCCCCCTCTCCACCCAACCCCAGAACACAGCAGGAGAAATAAAACAGGACTTCTCATCTCCACTTTCCCTTTAGCAGGAAGGCTGTGTGGAAACACATTCAGCAAGGGGTGTGGTCATTTCAGAAACACAGTGACTCAGGCCCCCAGTCCTGTCCACTCAAGGGGTCTGGAGGCCAGAGGGGAGGACATGGAGACCAAGGCTACAACTGCTGCATGAAGGAGGAGCACAGGGAAAGGCTGGGCCAGGGCAGCCAGCTGGACGTGAGGGAAGAGGGGCAGGCCACCTCACAGGAGAGTCCAGTCCCAGCCCATCAGTGATTTATGAGGAGAAAGGGCGGCCCAAGACCAGAAATGGAGACCTCCGAACAAACCACCAGACACCATGGCTTCAGCCAGACACAAATGCAGGAGAAACATCTCTGAAGTGCTGCACCAACCAACCCGGACGTGCACGCCACTCAGCAAACGCTGACCAGGCTCGACCAGCAGGGGCAACAAGGTTTCCAAGGACCACTTGCAGGAGGAGACAGCCAAGGAGAGATGAGTGAGCCCGCCTGAGGCGCCCGGGCAGCACAGGCCCTTGCTGAGGGCAGGAGTGCAGAACACACCGCCTGGGGACCTTTCTGCTCGGCACATGCCTCTAAGCCAGGGCCCACAGCACAGTCAGTGATAGTTCCTGCCAACACTTCCACTGAAGACACACTTGGAAGCCACCAGTGCCACTCTAGACACAAGTCCCCAGCCTGCTGCCTTCCTGGTCTGTGTCACCCTGACCTGGGCAGCCACCAGCCATGTCTCCCAAGTGGACCCTCAGAACACAACAAGGCCTCCCAACAGAGGCCGAGTGGACCAGGCACACCACACTGCAGAGAACAAGAGCCACACCCCAGCCCGGGCCCGCAGCAGCGTCCCCACAACCACAGGGATCTGAACACTGCCTGTGTGCTGGGAAGCCATCCTCCCAGCGCTCACTGGACACGGTGGCGGTTCTTACCATCTTCCCAGGAGAAAGGCCTCCGAGGGGCCGCAGCAGGCCGCTCAGGCAGGTGCATTCCCGAGGCCTCTTCCAGGCCGATGCTGTCCACCTGGCGCCGGGCCTGCCTCAGAACAACACCGCCCTGATCACGCAGCCTCACTGCGGCTCTATAAAACACGGTGTCCTTGGCATTGTACTTCATGCAGTTATCTACAATGAGATTAAAATCCTCCTCAAATGCACGGAGGTTTCTATACCCTTGAGCTTCTAGCCGCTTCCTCATTGTGGCAAAGTCCATGGGATGTGTGATGTGATCAAGATAATCTGGCACCTGAGTTCAGGGAGGAAAACAACCATTTACAAACCAGCATTCCAACCTGCCATCCATGTAACGGTAACGTCGCCCCACACGCACCCCAACTGCTTGCAAACCGCTAACACTAGGCCAGTAAGACACACCCCCAACCCCTGCAGGGACCCTCCTGACCCAAGACCCCTTCCCAGAAGCACAGCCAGCCACTAACAGCAAGGGCTGGGAATGCAGGCTGTCCCCTGCACCCTCCCACACTTTACAATGGAACGTGTCACTTTCGACAATCAAACACACACATACATCACATGACAACGAGAACTGAGCACACCAGCGATGGGTTCCCCGTCACCGAGACGGGACAGATGGCAACACGCACCTCCTTGAGACTCACGGGCTGGGCGAAGATCTTGGCAGGGTCCTTGTCCTGCAGCTGCTCGAGCACTGAGCGCAGCAGCACAGTCAGAGGCGTCAGCCGCAGCTCCATGGCCATCTGCTCCACCTTCACCTGGGACCACAGCACCACCATCTCAGGGGACCACAGGCCACGCGCTGGGCACACGTGCCCCCCACAGCCCTAGACGCCACTGTACCCCCATGCAGCACGCAGCCTCACACCTTCTGCCGCTGCAACTGCCCTGCCCTGCCAGAGCTACGCTTCCTTCCAGGCAGAGACTGGTGCTGCCCTCCAAGAAGGCCTTGGAGGCCAGCGCACAGGGCACCCCCCCGGGAGACCGGGACGGTCAGCACAGGACAGGGCCTCACCTGCTCTCGCTTTAGCTTCTCCCGCTTGCGCAGCAGCTCGATGAGCAGGCGGGCTCGCTCCAGGTCGTGCCGCAGCCGCTGCCAGTACTTCAGCTTCTCTTTGGCTGCTTTCATCTCCTCATCATTTTCTCTCTGAGAAGTGAGGCGAGACCCCCATCAGTCACACCCCAGGGTTCCCCAGCCCAGGGCCTCAGACGCTCACACAACAACCTGGACTTGCCCTTGCTGGAGCCCCCGTGACTCTGCCACAAGAAGGAGACTGGGGAGTGGGGTCCCAGGGCACTGCAGCTTGCAGAATGCCCGCCAGGTGAGCAGGAGCAGAGGGAGGGCTGGGGCGAGGCCAGGCATACAGCGAGCACAAGGCTGCACCTGGCCTGCCCCACAGCAGAGTGCAGCCCGAGCTTCTGCTCTGGGCACCAACTCCTGTGCTCCCCTGCTTGCCCCTACAAGACCAGGTGCCCTCTGCAGTACCCAGCAGCACCCGGTCCATTTTCCCTTTCAGGGAGAGAACAGTTAGCTCCCCGGCAACACCTGCCCCAATCTCACCACAGCACACCAGCACATTTCCACCCCATCATCAAGATAAGAGTTCTGCAAAAGGCACACCACAGATGGGACACAGGAGGGCGGCACAGGGTCTGCCCAGCCACAGGCATCGTCCCTGAGCAGAGTGAGTGCCACAGCCACACATGCTGCCCGAAGGCCTCACGGAGACCCTGGCAGGGGGCACTGCATCCCCAGAGGCAGGGCAGCAACTGCCAGGGACTCCAGCAGGACAGCCAATGCCCTCCCTAGCCAAACACAGAAAATCACCACCAAAGGCCTTCCTGCCTTGGCAGCCACCCCCTTGGCACTTCCCACAGGATTCCAACCTGATTTCCATGTAACCGGTAAAATCTGAGAGCCCCCCACACCTCGTCCAACCACAGGACTGCCACTATCCTCAGTTTCTGGAACACAACCGCCAGGAGACCCTCTCTGTGGACTGCTCTGCTCTCCACCACCAGAGGACGCCACAGCGCCGAACTCCCGAGGCCCTGGCTGCCAGTGTGCTTTAAGCCCGCAGGATGGTCTGAGAGCTAAGAGTCTTGGGACTAACCTGGTGTGGAGAACCAGCCCTATGTCCCCAGCCAGTGCTTCTGTCTCCACCAAGTAGCTTTAGCATGACCACAGAAAGAACCTTCGTGTTACTCAGCCCTCAGGCATCACATCAGGAATAAGGGTGATAAACAAAGCCAAAAATACCTAAAAGGTGGACCTGGAAGACCAGATTCCCCAAAGCTTCAAAGACCACCTGCCCATTCACTAGACAGACTTCTGAGAGTACCAGCCAGAAGAACACTTGGCCTGTAACCCGAGAGACGGGGGAAATCTCCCATCTGCCCACAAGCCCCTCCCTCTGGGTCTGTAGATTTCACTGGCTTGCTCACGGCCTGGCTTTAATAAAGACATGCAGCCTGGCCACGCCATGGTCACTCAGAAGCGGTGGGGCAAGGCTTGCAATGGCGCAGCCCATGTCCTTACAGCCCACTTCCTGCTGGAGACGCCGCAGCATGGGACTGGGTACCCTCTGAGAAGGGGAAGCGCAGCAGCGGCCGTGGCTGTCTCACGAATGCTGAGCACCAGAGCTCGCTCCCCAACACACAGAGGAGGATGGGAGACGGCCACCCTCCGTGAGGACAGCGCAGGTTCCCACTGAAGCCCCTGCACTGGGGACAGCTTGGTGGAGAAGAGGCAGAGGCCAGTTCTGCAGTGAGGGTCCTGTGCCAGCCTAGGGCAGGTAGCCCAGCAGAAGGGGGCGGAGCCAAGACCCCAGGGAGGTGGCTGATTCGCCGAGATGGGCCGCTGGGGACAGAGGAGGGGTGCATGTAGCCAACAACGCTTGATCAAAGCCGAGCAGCCACCTAGGTCCTCCCTCCTGCCATGGCACCCCCTTGGCACAGGGCAGAGGGCAGCACGGGCCTTGGCGCCTCCTGTAGAGCAGCCCACTGCGTCTCATCCGCCATCCTCCTGAGAGATCAGCCCCAGCAGAGAGGGGCCTGCCTGTCCTCACGCAGGCAGATCCAATTTTAACATCAAGTATATCCAGCTTTGAAACTGGGTTTAATCCCCAGCCTGAAGAGAAAAATTGGACCACACACACCAAGCCCCCGAGGTTCCCTCAGCAACACCAGACATCCCCAGAACACTAGGACAGCACAGGAGAACAATCAAAGGCCTGCACCCCACGTCTCGCCTGCTCCAACGCAGCCCATCGGGTACCTCTGCCCACCAGACACACGCTTCTACAGCCCCTGCCACAGTCTCAGGTCTCCCCACACCCCGAGGCCAGAGCACGAGTCTCCCACAGCCTCGCCACGGCAGGCTCACACACTCTTGGCTCCTTCCACTCCTCCCCTGGGGACGGAGCCCTCATCCTTGGCCTGCAGCACAGCGCCCGGGCTTCGGGCTCTCCTGGGGTGAACTCTCCCTCCTCTAGGAGTCCAATATCTCTATCTAGTCCATCACCACCCCTCCATCCTTCCTGCCCCTCCCACCCGTGCCCCTGCAAGTCCACAGAGTGCCATCCCCACAGCTGGGTGCCCCCGGGGCCAGGTCAGTGGTGCATCCCTTTTTGGTGGTACCAGGAGTTGAATCCAGGGGTGCTCTACCACAAAACTACATCCCCACTGCTTTTTTTTCTGTATTTTCTATCTTCAGACAGGGTCTCACAAAGTTGTCCAAGCTGAGCCCCAACTTGCGATGCTCTTACCTCAGCCTCCCCATAGTGGTGGGACTGCAGGCATGTGCCACGCCCCGTCTTTGCAATCTACTGATGGCTCATGTCCTGGCCTAGGAGAGCTGGGGCCCCTCCAGCTGGAGATAAAACCTAAGGTCTACATACTCAACTTCCTCCACCACAACCCCTCTCTCTCATCTCCACCATCACAGAAGCAAAGACCAAAGCTCGGGCTGGCCAGTGCCCACCCTCACCACAGGCTCTGCTGCTCTGACTCGATACCCACTCCAGGACCCTGCATTTGAGGGCTCCTCCTGCTCCTCTACTCTGCTGCACAGGGCCATGCCTGAGAAAGACGCACCGAGATGGGCAGCAGTGCCTGACAACATGGTGGGATGACACACCTGGCAGACCCACTCAGCAACCAAAGCAATTCCTGTAAGCCCCTGCTCTGCACCAGGCACTTCCAGGCCTGGATGTGCCAACTTTCCAGGGAAGCAGACACACCTAATCAGCCGCAGATGCCGCATAGGGGCAGCATGCGTGGGGCCCGAACACTGCTTGGCCAGCAGGTACCACAGTGCCCGTGAGCAGGTGCCACCCAAAAGCCCTACTAGGAACAGCGACTCTGGCATCAGAACAGGCCCCGACCACAGGCCCGGCCCACAGCACCGTCCATGGTCATCCATACCCAGGGCAGCTCCACCAGGACCGCACAGACGCAACTGCATGGGCGCAGTCTGACAGTTCAGCACCATGCTCAGGGCTGCGCTAGAGGGCGACACCAGGACCAGGAGGCTGGGCCCCAGCTCCGGCCCAAGGACGTACAACTGAGGACTGGCTGCCTTTCCTTACAGTAAAGTGAGCAGAGGCTGCCAGACACAGATGTTTTGGACAACATGCATAAAAAAGCATTTTTGTTTTCAAGTTATACTTGTGACGGTTGACAGAAGCCAATCCTTTACTTTCCAAGTCCATCCTCTCAGGACTGTTTTATATTGAGTGGTTCCACAAACCCAAGTTAACTGCTAACATGTGGGGTCTGTTTCAGTTTGTTCCCTTAGAGAGGAGAAGTCCTCTCACCCCACAACTCCGTGTGCCTCCCTGTGGTCAGTGCTGAACCAGCCTTCAGAGCCTTCAACACATCACCCCAGATGAGGCTCCTGGCTCTCGAGGCTTGCAGGGCTCAGGGCCCTGGCAGTTCACCCTCCCCTCTGGCCCCACCCTGCACATTTCCCTGGCCTGACACTCTGTGCCCAGAGCTGGCAAGCACTAGACACAGGACCAATGCTCCATAAGGGTATGCAGGGTAGGAGAGGAATAGCAATTAACACTGAAGGCCCCAGGCCAGGACGCGGGGTCACCTGCCCAGCCCCAGTGCAGCAGCCAATGGCCTAGCACCCAGCCTGAGCCCTGTGCCCCCCTCCTGGGGCCACGCCCAGCTGGCAGCAGGGCAGAGACGAGGGTGTGCACCTACCTGCTGTGTGCTCCTCTGGGACTGCAGGCTAGACTGCAGGCGCCGCAGCAGGGGCGCGCCATTCCTAGACAGCCTCTTGAGTAACCAGTAGCTGTGGGCTCGCTCCACAAACTGCTTCTTCCGCTGAATGGCCACCTGATTCGCAATCCTATTTAATCTAAAACACAGAAAAACTCAAAGTTTAGCTTGGAACCAGTACATTAAAACATTCTCATCAAGGAAACTAGAAATAACAGTGTGACTCGTAACAAAACCACAAGTGTTCACACTTTTCTCCCTGAGCCACAGCACAAGTAACTTCTACCACCCTTGGTGCTGCAAAAACAAGGCCCACAATCTCCAGCTATCTGAAGATTTCATCACTTTCAATCTGAAATATTTATGTTTAAACATCTGAAAAGAAGTGGAACAAAGCCTTAAACACCCTCCTTCTCCATGCTGTCCTAGCCACACAGGGGCTGGCAGAGGCCACTGCTGGCTGCTGCACGGCGTGGCTGAGCCCCAGGCAGGCTCACAGACACACACCCAGGCCAAAAGGCAGGCAGCTGCCCCAGGGTTGGACAGTCTGTGCCCGTGACTGACAAAAGGTTCTCCAGGCTCCTGAGAAACTTCCTCCTTCCAGGGTCTGGGAGATGCAAAGTGGTAAGAAGCCCCTGGCTGTAGGGAGGAGATGCCTGGAAGGCCGGCAGCAGCTCTCCCACCCCTTGTTACCCTTCCAGTTGGAACAGAAAACAGCTCATTGGTTTCCACACAAGGACACTAAAAAGCAACACAATTCAATACAACACCAAAACTTTAACAGAGCAAAAATACAAACTACAAGATCTTCCTCGTTGTACATCAAACATCCAAATTTTAGGATATCAAGAAACTGTTAAGGTCACATTTTTTTCAAGAACACAAATCAGAAATTTTACAGACCTGAGGAACAAACCTGTCAGGTAGAAACCCAGCCCTGCTGTGTCTGGCTTTCTCCTTAGCCTGCTCTAGACCCTGCGGTCACCTTCAGCTGAGCTCAGCAGCCCAGCACCCGTGGCCTTCAGCATCTGTAAGCTCAAGATGGTCCCAGCCCCAGCCACAAACACATCACCAAGGGCAGAGGACACGGTGGTGGGAGAACAGGTTCCAGCAGAGGGTGAGAGGTCCCGTAGTCAAAGCATGGCCCAACACAAGGCTCAGAGCCCAGGGTGGGGTGGGGTTGGTCCTAGTCACACCTTTGGTGTGGTCTTTGCTTTTCTCACATCTGCCAAAGGCATAATCTGTTTGCAATCAACTACATCTATCTTAATGCAGACAGCTCAAGAGGATTTTTAACAAAATTACAGATTATTTTAACATAATCTCTTAAGTTGTAACATTGATGACATGAGACAATACAGACACAAGTATTTTTTTAATAATTAGACTGGCAATTTGCTTTATAAATAAAGATTTATAAATAAAGATTTATAAATAAAGATTCTGACCTCCCTCACAATACAAGCCAGCACCTTCTGCAGCATCATGACTTCTGGAAACATGAACAGGTGTAGATTGTGAGTCACACAGCTTTGGTAAGAACACACTTGAAGCGTACCCTAAAGGTGTCTGTCCACACCACATGCCAGGTTCTGGCTCTGCCTGATGAGGACCAGCATCCCAAGGGGAAGCCAGACAACGGCCACCCCCACCGCACCCCTCCCGGAGGCAGCCCAACCCCAGCCCACATGTCCACCCCTCAACATGCACCCGGAGCCGCTGGCCCAACAACCACCTCCCAGAAAGGGCAGGACAGAACAAGCTACCCACAGCATGAGCACGCTGGCAGCACAACCTGGCCAGGGACAGCTACACTCAGACCTGAGAACGCACTTCCACCACACTGCAAAGGAAAGAGCCCACACAGGCACCTTGGGAGAGAGACCAAAGGACACCGAGTGCAGCGGTTTGATGGGCATATCCCGGGTCCACATACAGGGAGCACAGTCTCTGGCGTGCCAGTGTTAAGAGTACCATGACTTAACAGGCAGTGCAGGTTGAAGGAACAGCCTTTCCTGCTCTGCTTCCTGTCTTCCTTGTGACCTCCCTGCCATGCGCCAGTTGCTGCAATGTGACTCAGCCAGGGCACAAATAACAGGACTGCCCCAACTCGGATGTGAGCTGAACAAACCTCTTTTCTTTATGAAATACCCAATCTCGGCTATTCTGTTACACTAGCTGACAACTGACTAATACAGGTATAGTGTCAAAGGCACAGAGAGCTGAGGCATTTAGAGAAAAGGGTAAAGTGAGTCCCATGCAGGTCAGGATGGCACCTGGTCCTAGCAGTGGGAAGGAGCTGTCTTCCAACACAGACGGCAGTCATAAGGGGGTTCACAGTCATTTATTAATCCACACAGCTGTTTCATGAAACTGATTCTGTGTGCTATTTTAAAAATACTTAAACATGGCATTGGCAAGAGTATACTCAACCCCACAATGAACGTAATCACTATGTACTACAAAAACATATACTAACAAAAATAAGGGTTTTTTTTTTTTTCAAAAGAACATATTTAAGATTTTCCCAAGCCTTTCTAAACACAACTAAAAAGCAAAACCAGTGCCTCCCAGGGAAGAGGTCTTGCCAGTCTCCTGAGATCTGTCCACAAGGGACACAGACAGGGCCACAGCAGGTGATTTGAGAACCAGGTTACTCCTAGCCTCCTGCCGCCCAAGCCACCAAATTCTGGCTTCCAGAAAAATTCTAGGACTTAAGTGGAGGGCAGCTAAGGAACATCAGTCTGTGATTTACAGTACTACTTTAAAGGAGATAAAAAAAAAATTTTGAGCACACTACTTCAGTAAAATAGCCTTTATACAATCTACTGCTAGATGTGACCAAGGTTTCCAGCACTCAAGTCTGTGAGACAAACCAAGATGAGGATGGAGGTAACTCCCTCTTCCCATAAGAGTAACCTGTATCCGCGGAAATGCTACCTTCTCTCCTTAAAACCCTATCCTGTTCAGAGATGCAGCCCCACCAAACATCATTCATGGCTAATAATGCACAGGTGGCCCATTTGTTTAGACTGTGTGTAGAGCAAACCCCAGTGCTGCAACTGAAGTCCCAGCATATGTCCATGGAGACTCATGCCAGGACACCAGTCAACAGGGCAGCCAGGGTGGAGGATGCCCAGGCCTTGGAGGGCAGTGCTGGGTGCCAGTCCCCCTAGGTCCACTATGTCACCTTCACAAGTATGTGCATATCACCTCTAAGACTTTGGAGTAAAGAATGTTAAAGTTTAGCTGGTGAGGCAGCTCAGTGGCAAAGCACTTCCCAGCGTGCAGGAGGACCTGGGTTTAATCCCAGGACCACCGGGGGGGGGGGAGCCAGACTCCAACTGAACAGACTCCTGAACTCTTACTAGACTTATTTTCAGGGCTCATCTAAGCAGGGGTCTGAGGAACTCAAGATGAGACAGAGGGGAAGGGAACGGAACAGAACCCTCACCTCAACAAGGACATGAGCATTATGAGGAAAAGACTCCAGCTGACAGAACTCGGTAAGATATCAATGCAACACACAGGCCCCAACAAGCTGCTGGACTGCGATACCAGAAAGCAACCTGAAAGGTGTCTGCTCACATCAAGCACGATATCCACTTCCACAGGGGTCACAGACAAGTCAGAAGGAACATGGGAAGGTGCCCCACAAAACAAGGAGTCTCCAGAGTGCCAGCCTTAGGCACTTGCTGGACATCACGGAGGGGATGATCCCTGGAAACAAGATGACATGGGATACTGTAACACGTTCATGGCCGGATGCACCTGCATAACTGTCTCCATCTGGCAGCTGGTGCCACCAGAGGTTCTAGTTGTCAGGAAGGTGTTAACGCAGAACAGTCACCCGCCTCAAGCCCTGAATGGGACATCTGGGCCTGAGAAGACTCTACAAATATAAAAGAAAACTAAGTGCATCCCTTGACCAATTATTTTATAAACTGAATCAAGTTTAAAAATTTACTCCCACATCCAAAAGCAGAGAAAAAGATTTTTTGAAGAACCAGACAGATCGGCACCTCCAGTCCGACACAGACAGGAAACAGAGGCAGCTCCTCAGCAGGGCCACAGGACAAAATCAAGCAGCAGGGACCACATCCACTCACCCACTGGGACGCATAGCCTGAGAACAAGAAGACACATGGAGTCCACATAGGACAGAGGCCACGCCACAGCCACACCAAGAACAGTGCACCCCAGGGACACAGGCTCTTGACACTGGGTGGCAGGCAGGCTGGAGCAGCACCTGGGCCTCTCTGAGGGCAGGCACACGTGGCAACACCCATCCCAGCTGCACTGCAAGCTTCCCTGAGAACTGCAAGAGGATGGCTGCAGGTTGTGAGCTGACACGGAGTCCTCACGAAGGGAGAAAAGCACACGGAGGGTCTATTGGAGAGAGAGATAACACCTCTATAAATCATCTTCAAACTTCCAGCTTCCCAAGAAAGTTCGTCAAGATAGGAGGACAGGATAATCCCAAACCACAAGAAAGAACCCAGGCAGACCAAGGCCACCCACAAACCTGTAAACATAGCGGCACCTCCACACAACAGACCTGCCCGCACAGACCCCAGGGTACACAAGCTGATTCCCTAGGGACAAAGGGTACATGGACAAAGGGTGTTCAGGCTGCAAACATGAAACTAAGCCCTGTGACCGAAGACCTACATGGCCATCATGCTTACTCAAGAGTGGTTGCAGGGCACACCCAGGAGCTGGCCAGGATGGGACAGGAACACGGGAAAGCAAGGCAACGATCCTATGGCGGAGACAGGCCAGAGCATGGAGAGCAACAGGGGCAGTAGAGGGCAGGGGAGGATCACACTAAAGCTGGGACCTCAGGCGAAAGTATAAAACAGACACTGGCTAAGAACACAACAAACCTGAAGAAGCCTTAGACAACTCCGAGAACAGGAGCTACAAAAGTCGACCTGCGGTGCACGCCCCAAGGCACCCTACAGAGCCCCTACATGCTGCATTCTTGCTACCCTGCTCATGCCCGGCAGGCGCACACGCCTGTGCCTCACAGCCGAGAACACAGACCAGAACTGCACAGGGGGAGAAAGGCAGGTGAACAGGGCAACCCTGAGGCCCAGTCACACCAGGGAAGCAGCACCACATCTCCCTGGTCAGGGC